CCTAATGAAATGGGTGAATGGGGAGATTGTGATCAAATGTCATGGGGCCATCAAATGGTCTATGATATATTTGGTGCTTCAACCTCACAATTTAACCATAATGTCGAGCCATTGAATAATCCCCCCCAAAGCCAGAGCTCTAATGTCCCACACGGCGATGAGAATCCAAGCTCTTATGTTCCATATTATGTTGATGAATTAGGAGAGACATTCCAAGATGTCTTAAAAGCAGCCGATCAACCTCTTTATGCCAACTGTGAGGGTCACTCTCAACTATTGGCAGTTACAGAGTTGTTAAACATAAAATCTGAATATAATCTTCCTGAAAATTGCATGTCTAGATTGTTGCAGTCTGTCGGGGGGATGTTACCACGTGATCATAGTCTTCCTAGTACATATTATGACATGAAACGATTAGTCTCTCAGTTGGGGCTTCCTATTATAGAAATCGATGTGTGTCCTTCTGGATGCATGTTGTATTGGAAAGATGATGAGATACTAGTTAACTGCAAGTTTTGTGGAATGGATAGATACAAACCTCTTCCACAAACTCGCAAAAAACCGCGGTACAGGTCTGCACTGTCTAAATTATTTTACCTCCCTCTAGCTCCAAATTCCCGGATGGATATTGCTCCAATTTGTCGAGGTGCATAGACGCAGAAAAACTTGTCATGACGGGCATGAAAAGTCATGATTGTCATGTAATCATGCAAAGACTTCTTCCAATTGCTTTACGGGACATGCTTCCCCCAAACGTTTGGAATTGTATTACGGAAGTTAGTTTGTTGTTTCAAACATTATGATCCACTGTTTTGGAGACTGAAGCGCTCAAAGAACTAGAGAAGTGTTCCCATCCTAATGTGCATTTTGGAAATGATTATGCCTCCATCATTCTTCGATACAATGGAACATTTGCTAGTACATCTCCCGTATGAGGCCATTAATGCCGGTCATGTCTTTTATCGTTGGATGTACCGCTTCCAGAGGTCAGTTACACCTTTTATAGTTATTCCAACTAGTATATTTTATGGATGTCTGAATAATAATGAAATTGACTCTTCCAACTAGTATATATATAGGCAGCAGTTCCGGTAAGAACAGATCTTAGGAAAAAAATGAGAACGAATCTGGACCGTTGGATTGTATTATGTGGAACCAAATTGTGCATTTGGTAAAACTGAAATGTGCATTAAATGATATTGAAATGTGCAAAATAAAAATTTAAAATCAAGTGTGCATTAGATGAAACTAATATGTGCGGAAAAAAAGTACAAAAATAACATCACATCGTACTTTTTATTCTGCACATTTTAGCTTCAATTAGTGCACATTTCAATTTCACGTAATGCACAATTCAACTGCACATAATGTCACTCTATCATACCCTTTGTGATGCACATTTCAATTTCACCTAATGCACATTACAATTTCATCTAATGCACACTGAATTTCACTTGAAGCAAATCTAACGGTCCAGATTCGTTCTCATTTCTCTCATAAGATCGTGTTCTTATTTGAACCAAAACCTATATATATATATATATATATATATATATATATATATATATATATATCAGGTTTTTGAGAGGCTTGAAAAAGAAAGTCATTAATAAAGCACATGTGGAGGCGTCGATTTGCCAAGCTTATCTCACTCTAGAAATCTTCACATTCTCGTCTTTTTATTTTGAGCGGGGTGTGATTACTAAAAGAAAACGACCAGCCCGAAATGACGACATTGGCGAGGACTCATATGATGATGTAGTTTCTATTTTCAATTACTCGGGTAGAGGAAAAGGAGCTGCGACTTACCGCTACATTATCGGTGAAGAATTTCTGAGGGCTTATACATACATCTTAATGAACTGTCAAGAAATTGAGCCATTTTAAAAGTAAGTGTCTTTGTTAATTATATCCCCACAAGTTTTATTGATATGTTTTTACCAATTCTCTATCGTTTTTCTATTGTAGTGAATTTAGAGCATCGCGGTCTCCATTCCCTGATCATATAATTGATGAGATGGTGAATTGATGAGATGGTGAATTCCGAATTTGTATCATGGTACCAGAATAAGGTACATTTTATTAAATACTTGTATATTTTATCAAATGCCGTTATCAATTACTATGATGTTATATATATATAGAGAGAGAGGGAGAGAGAATTTGGTTCAAATAAAAAGTACTTCCTAGGTGAAAAATAAGAACTAATCTTGGCCATTGATGTGATAAAATGGGTGGAAGAGATCAATTTTTAAGTGAGAAACGCGGTGGCGTTTTTGTAATTATGGGGAACTTTTTTTGAAAATATTGTGACAAATGTGCATCAGAATAGTAAAAAAGTGCACACGTAGAGCACAAAAGTGCAATACCGTACAAAATAGAAAGTGCACAAGATGAAAATTTTTGACAATCTTTTTTGACTCGCATGAGTGCACTTTTAATAAGTAACTATCCACTTTATAGTATAAACGTTTGCACATTTTTTGAAATCATCTCTTGTGTTTAAAGTTCATCTAATCCATCCATTTTCAAGTGATGGAAGGTCAAGATTTGTTCTCACTTTTCATGGGAAGACTACTTTTTACTTGAACCCATCCCTCTATATATATATATATATATATATATATATATATATATATATATACATACATACATACATATATACAGGTAAGAGATCAAATACAAACCATGCTTAAAATACTAACCTGCAAACTCAATAATATGCAACACTTTGAACTTCAATATGCAGTACAAATAATGTAAAGATGCACACTGTGAATTTCAATATGCATTACAAATAATATGCAACACTTTGAACTTCAATATGCAGTACAAATAATATAAAGATGCACAGTTTGTGATAGTTTGTAGGTTAGCATGGGAAGACTAGTTTGTATGTGATCTCACCCCTATACATACATACATACATACATACATACATACACACATACATACATACATACATACATACATACATACATACATACATACATACATACATACATACATACATACATACATACATACATACATACATACATACATACATACATACATACATACATACATACATACATACATACATACATACATACATACATACATACATATATATATATATATATATATTCTTTACAGATACGTAGTTGTGCCTATGTCGACCCCATTCTACAATCTTTAGCGTGGGGACCTACTACCCATGCCAAAGTTTGGCACTCATATGTTATAAATGGTTACACCTACCATACACGCGCTTATGGTGAGGACAGACCCACAATGAATAGCGGAATAAGTGTCCCGACAGTTGGGTATGATAATTCTGAAACAAACTTTTTTGCTCTTTTGGAAAAGATTCTAGAACTGAGTATGCCGCGAGTAAAACAAGAACTATCAATTGTTCTTTTTCGATGCACATGGGTTGATCCGATACGAGGTGTGAAAAAACATTCAAAATATAACATCATTGATGTTGATCATTCTAGAGTGTATCGGAAAAATGAACCTTTTATCCTCGCCCAACAAGCTGCACAAGTATATTAGGCCGAATATCCTTCGACGCGACAAACACCGAATCCATGGGTCTGTGCATGCACTATCCGCCCTAGGAAAATTGTCACATAAGCTCAGCACAAAGACGTTGATTTAGATGCTTTTCAACAAGAGTATTTTCAGCCACCGCCTGTTGTTGAAGCTATCACAGATAACATTGTGTTGAGTGATCCAAGCGGGGCAGAAATCGAAGTTGTTCTACCTAAAAATACTTCGTCCCGAATTCCTCAAACAGAACTAGAAATAGTTCAACAACAAGAGGAAGAAGAAGACGAAGAAGAAGAAGAATGGATATCTGGTGAAGATATAGAGGAAGAAATTATTTATGAAGAAGATCATGATTCTGAAAGCGATTAATTGATATTTATTGTATTACTCATTCTACGAACTTATTGTGGTACTTGTATTTATTAATTTATGTTCTCAATAATTCTCTATTTTTTCTTGTTACTTATGGAATATCTAATACAACTCATTAATAGTTGTTTTCCACTGTAATCAACTATTATACGTTTTTCCCCCAAAATTCAAATATATTCCTCAAATATTTTTTTAGTCTATTTTAATCTAAAGCATAAAATTCATTTTTTTTAATCTTAAAATTCGAAAATTCAAAACTTTGTTTATTAAATTCAAATATTTGAAAATGTGTTTCAATAATCATATATTCCTCAAATACTTTTGGAATTAATTTTTTTTCAATCTAAATTATAAGGAAATTAAATTAATACGGTATTATTAAATTATCAAATTCATTACACATGAGTTTACTTATTACATTTCACTACAGATAAGGAAATGTAATTCTAAATTATTTCAAGCTCAACAAAGAAAATAACATTAAACAGATGACTGTTTTTCAGCGTCCTTGCCATTATCAAATTGCTTCTCTAGAACTTGAATAAATTTTTTGCGGGATCAATCTCTTTCAATTATTTAAAATCAATTAAAATCATTTAAAATCAATTTCTTTCATAGCCCATTAAAATTCAAACAATTTAGCCAATTTATAAATCATTTTTCCATGACACAAAGATAGACCCGTGATTTTTTTTGGATATCACAACTTTTGGCAAGGCTTAGTCTCAGATATTTCCCTAACTAAATACAACCGTGCATTGTTGTTAGGGATTAGTCAAGGATAAATCCCTGACTAATTTAATTATTTCAAACGGTGCGCACCAACCACTTCTGATGCCTCTTTATCCGAGATTGCAGACCTTCGATTTCCAATGCATTTGTTGGGGATATATCCCTCACTAAATCCCTGACTACAATTATGTGCTTCGAATTATTTCAATTCGCGCCACCCCCAGAATTTACGAAATTCGAATTTTAAATTTGTTAGGGATTTCTCCCTTACTAATTTTAAACGTGGAAGATTGTTAGGGATTTATCCCTAACTAATGCTTTAATATATAAATGATACTTTGTCATATTTCAACAGTACTTTCTCTTCTCTCTACAACCCTAAAAGCATCGACGCCTCTGCCCTCAGCCCGATCGACGTCGCTGGAACAACCGTCGACAATACTTCTTCCACGCCGTTGTGTCCACTGCCGACGAAGGCCAACGCCTCTGAGTCCGATGGTGCAGCCATAAATGTCCACCAACTTTGACGCCTCTTGCTTGGTATCCATCCACCGACCCTCAGCTCGACGCCTCGGAGTCCGAGAATCGTTTCCGCCTCTCAGCACCGGGCCTCTACTGTTCAGGTCACACCTTCCTATTTTTGCTTCATTTATTTTAAGTAGTTAATTTTTTTTTTTTACATTCCTATGCCTCTACTGTTCGACTTTTCAATTTTTTTAATAATTTCAAATACTTTTTAAAACAATTAAATACCTTTTTTGGACTTTTGTGTTATTATGTCAACTGTATGAACACATTTTTGGTGTATTTCGGACACTTTGTTAAAATAATTTTTTTTAAACATTTGTTTTATAACCTCGAATACTTTTTAAAACAAATAAATACCTTTTCGGACTTTGGTGTTATTATGTCAACTGTATGAACACTTTTTTTGGAGTATGAACCATCTTATAAAACTGTTTGAACCATCTTATGAACATAAAAAAATCCCCCCTTTCACATTAAACTCCAATGTGAAACACCTTCTCAAGTAGTCTATTAAAATAATTACGAAAATAATAATTACGAAAACAATTACAAATATTTAAACAACTATTTACGGAAGTAATAATTAAAATATACATAATGAGAGGCTATTTCGCACCTGTAATTCCAAATATAATCCCATCTTTAAAATTGAAACAATACCTAAAAAAAATCCCCCCTTTCACATTAAACTCCAATTCTCATTTTAATGTGTTACTAAAAAAATAGTATTTTTAAACATCTTACACCTATTTTAATATGTTACCATAAACACCACCTATAAAAAACACTTTAATTATTTCAAAACAATACGTTAAACACCTAGTTTAAACAATACGTATTCTAAGAATTAGTCTAGTCAATATTATTGTTTAATATTTTACCAAAACGTGTTTCCATTTAATATGTTACTAAAACACAACATTTAAAAAAAACAGTTAAACAATTAGTTACGAAAATGATAATTAAAACAGACATAATAAGAGGCTAATTCGTACCTATAATTCCAAAAATAATCCCAAAAATAATTACTACCTTTATAAATTTTATACTAGTTATTTTACTTACCTTTATAAATTTTAGATGCCAAATTCCTCGCGTAATTCAAATGCATCAAATCGAGGCCGCGGCCGTGGTCGAGGTCGAGGCGGAGGCCAAACGTCTCGCGATCACTCGATGGGAGACAATGATGGTTCGAATAACAATTCGGGTTAACCCGACACACGCATTTCTGGTCAACTCTCTCATGTGCGTGGGGGTGGGGGTGGTGGAACGTCCTCACAACCTCAGAATGAGCGGGCCGGGAACCAAAGATGGATAACGGCGGAAGAAGTTCTCGGGTAAATTAAAACTTTCAATTCAATAAAATAAAAATAATACATGTAAATTACTTAATTTAAAATTTTATATTATGAAGCGATGGAACAATTTTACCAACCATTGAAAAGATTTTCTCTGAACATTATCCTACCGAGGCTTGTGCCACGTATGGTCTAATGTCAAAAAAGCTGCGGACTCAATACTTTGACCAGTTCACGGTAATGTACTAAATTAATATTTTCTATAAATAATGAGTTTGACAAATAAGTTGTTAAATGTGTTAATTAACAATATTTAATTTGATGAAGCATGAATATATGTGGAATCCGATTGAGACGGATGAGATTATGAAGAACTTTCATACTAGTGCATCGGGTTGGCTCACTTTTACATTTTCCCATGTCCGATTCGACAATACCAAGCAGGAATGGATTACGGATGCTGTGTGGCAGACTCTTTTGGATTACTGGGAGAATAATGAAACATTTAAAAGATACAGTGAAGCAGGGAAGAAGAACAGAAACTGCCCAAATGCAAAGAATACCCAATGGCATGGTGGACGTTCATCAACGTTTGACCATAATAAAAAATTGGTAAGTTGTCCTACTTATTTTGTGAATTCAATAATGTATGGCTACAATATTAAGTGTTTTAATTTTCTTTAGGAAGAAAAGATGAAGAAGAAAGTTAGGAGATTGGTACTTTTGAACAAGTGTTGGGCTCCGAAATCTGGGCCACTTCCACCCCGTATTGCCGAGATAACGGTAAGAAATGAATGAAAATGAATATATGTTTGTATTCTTCACTTATTTACTATAATTAAATTATTGTGTAGCATAATTATGAAGAATTGATGACTGAGAAGTTGACTGAAATTGCTGCCGCCGGGGGGTGAAGTTGTTGAGGAGGAGATTGATGACGATGCAATCATCGTATATAGTATTGGTGATCCGGTGAAGGGGCGGTTGCGGGGAATGGGCTCACTCTCTCGCTCCATTCTAAGAAAATCCCGTGGTTGTGGTTCTTCTCAATCCGGACCTTCTCGGAAAGATATTGATGAGTTATGTGAGGGGTTAAAAAGGCAGCACGAGAAAGAAGAAGCCCGAGAAGCTGAAATGCGGGAAATGCGGGCTTTGGTTGTTAAATTATCGCAACAATCTCAAATGGTCGGGGTGGGCGGATATAACCAAGGGTTCTCACAAATACCCTTTGGCAGTTGCTATTCCCAGCCCGGCAGTCAGCTTTTTTTCACGACACCGTCGAGTGGGATGTCGCGAGGGGGGATGCCAGGGATGCCGGGTGGAATGCAAGGGGGGCAGCCGGTGGGGCAGCCTGGTCACTATGGTCAGCCCGGAGGTCAGCCCGGCGGTCAGCCCGGAGGTCAGCCCGGCGGTCAGCCCGGAGGTCAACCCAGATTTCAACCTGGAAGTGATTTTGATATCAGGGGATATTTTGCGGATCACGATGATGATGCTCAATTATAATTGAGTTTTTTTAAATGTATTCGAATTTTTGTTACGGAAATATCCGTTGTAAAACAATTTTTTTTAATGTTTTGCGCGCGCGCGCACACATATATATATTAAGGATCACATACAAACTCATCTTAATTTACAAAATACAAATTAATCCTAACCATCCATTTGAATGATCCTACGGTGTATTAATTTGAAAGATGGAAAAACTCTCCTACGAATTTCCTAACGGATACAGTTGAGAGAAAATAGGAATACTCCCCCCTACTCACGGCTGAATGTTAGTGGCTTAAATATTTGTTACCATTGATTTTGTAATTTTGGACGGATGAGATGAATTTGCATTTTGTACCGGAAGCACACTTTGTATGTGATCAATATTATGCAAAGTGTGCTTCCGATACAAAATGCAAATTCATCTCATCCGTCCAATATTATGCAATGAATGGTAGGATTTGTTAGGAGTTGTTTTGAACACTAATAAAAGTTGAAACTCACTCCATTGAGTTTCAAACCCTTGTGTGCCTAACGGGATTCGAACTCAAGACCTCCCACTAGGCACGGTAACCTCGCAACCAGCTAGGCTGGAGTGCTTGGTTGAATAATGTAAAATTCAATATGGACAGAACAAAAAGGAATGTCTGAAGTAATCAGGGTTGAAACTCACTTCAGGGTTGCCAGGAGTAAAATTCCTTGCATAATATATTACATGGGAGGGGGGCTGGGGGGAGTCTGGAGTAATCAGGGTTGAAACTCACTCCATTGAGTTTCAAACCCTTGTGTGCCTAGCGGGATTCGAACTCAAGACCTCCTACTAGACACGGTAACCTCGCAACCAGCCAGGCTGGAGTGTTTGGTTGAATAATGTAAAATTCAATATGTTGCATTTATTTAAGAAGATAGATAGTATATATGACAAAAATAAGAATTGTTTATAAAAGTGTAGCCTCTTAAGGGTAGTAACTTTAGTCATAATAACTTAGGCAAATTATACCGTATGACCGGTATACCATGCGCATGGTATACCGGTTCACATACGGTGCCGTTTTCCTCACAAATGGACGACGGAATACATATGGTGCTGCTTAATCATTGTTGAATATGGAATACAGAATTTAGTTAGTGCCTTAGTGGCACTCCCCCACCCTCATTTCTTTTATTTCCTTTTCGTTTTTTACTTTTAATTTTTATTTACTTTTTTTACTTTGAATGATTTTTTTTAATTAGGAGCACTAAATGTATTACATAGTAAATTTTTTTGATCAAATTTTCATCATTTCAAAATAAATTAATTACTTATTTTGTCTTAGTCGTTATTCGTATACTCCGTATAATTTCTTCTTCTTTTTTTCTTCATTCAATTGAAATTACAACCAATTTTTCTATATACTTTTTTTTGTAATATATTTTTTCATATTCATACACTTTTTCTTGTAATATAGTAGTATCTCTTATCTCTTTATATGTTTTTGGTGTTTTTAAGAAAATAAATTTCTTTATTTTGATTACATTTGATAAAATTTTACATTTGCGCATGTGTGAATTATGTTTCAAAACAATTTCTGGAATTACATTTTATAGTATATGAAGTTACATCTTCTTGTGCGCGAGTTATATCTTTCTATGCGCGAGTTACATCTAATTATACGCGAGTTACATCTAATATTTTGTCAATTTTTACTTATCTTTATCTTTAACTAATTAAATTACAACTGAATTAACTTCTTTTTTTTTACCAATTTATTACAAAATTTTATTAACATACATAAAATAAGTATATTGTATTTCACATTCATATACTCTTTTTTACTTTTGTTTCATCTTATGAACGATTTACATCTTCATGTGCATGAGTTACATCTTCTTATAAGCGAGCTACATCAACTAAAACGCGAGTTACATTTGGATTTATCTCAACAAGTTACATTCTATATACACCTAAGCTACATTTGCCATTAGTTACATAAAAAAGTCAACCCCTGCTATTAAAAACAAAATATATTCATAATTTACTTGAATTAATTGGTCAATTAGACTCTTTATTTATCATTTTTCACTTTGAGATCAATGTTTTATTTCTTAATATCCGTATTAGACAAGTTACATTTCGACATGTCTGCAGTTACATTTTTTATCAGCTTGAGTTACATTTCATTACACACGAGTTACATCATTATGCTCCTGGATAATGAAAAAACAAAAAGAAAGGTTACTGTTCACGCGCGTGAACAGTAACACGCGATTTTTTCAGCATGCTTCAAACGACGTCGTTTTGGGCGTAGGAGCATGATGCTCATGGTGGACCGGTTGTACAGTATACGAACTGAATAACTTATGTTTAACTTTTGTACTAAAATAACAATGACATTTTATCGATAATAAATTTAGTCATACTTTTTTAAATAATTTTAATTTCAGTAATATTTTTGAAAAACTTCTAAAATTAAATGAGTGCAATCACTTTTTTACATAGTACGAAGTAGTATGTACTACTCGTATTAACTTTCAAGTACTTGTTGGCCGAAATCCGTGCTTCCTGTTACCTGTATTCAACGAAACAATCACGTTTTTAGTGTTCACGCTCCACCTCATTTCTTTTCCTTCCGTTTCGTTTTTTAAACGCATGATATGATCCATCCAGATTATATAAATGCTGGCTGGCATTCACGTTTATCTCAGTTCCTGAAAATCCCGAGCACTGATGCGACTTGGAGGAGATCTATATAAACGCTTATAGATAGAGCAGAGACGTACACAGACACGTATCCCGAAGGAGAAGAAGAGACATGGACGCGGTAAAGGGGAGTGCCGGAGTGAAGATAAAGATCGGAGTGTGCGTAATGGAAAAGAAGGTGAAATGCGGCTCAGAGGTTCTGTACTTTCATTCACATTTGTATCGTCAACGGAGAAATGCTATCTGTATATTTTGCTGACCATGCACCGCATAATGATGTATTTGGTATTCATCTTATCAGCATGTACAGCTCGTCATTGATTTCAAGCAGCTTTGTTGGGTTGATTTCAGGTTTTCTCTGCTCCAATGGGGCACATTCTGGACAGATTACAGTCATTCGGCGAATTTGAGGTATTTATGTATCTCTATTCATTCGTCTAGCTATCTGGAAATGTGAAATTGTTGCGCTCATGGAGATGAGCGAATTCCATTTGAATTTTGTCGTTTTGAAGTGGAGACCCTATGCGACTTTGTTTAAACTCTAACGACCAAGTTGGCTTGTTTCAAGCCTATATGATGCTTCTCATAATGCCTTATTGTACTTTAGGTTCTGCACTTTGGTGACAATGTTATCCTTGAGAGTCCAATTGAGAGGTATATTCCAGGCTTAGCTAATTTTTGGTTTCACAATTTAGGCTTACGACAATTTACTTATATATTTGTTTATCCAATGCAGCATTCTGCTTTTCACTTTTTTGTGTTGTACTATCGTATAACACTGCGTATATTGATTATTACGGATGTGTTCTGTATAACACTAATGACTGGTGATATGCATGATGCTCTAAAAGTTCTTGAATTTCAAAGTTAATGTAATGTTCGTCTAATGTGATTATATATAATCGATGGATCCGTTCCTATTTAAAGTTCTTTTTTTTGGCATCTGCAGTTTTATTTATTTATGTATTGTTATCTGCCCTTGTGATATGCGGTTGGGATTAATAGTGGTGTTAAGTGGGTATAATAAATGAGGCTAGTCAAGTATTAAACCTTTTAGTTTTATGAAACAAGGAAAATGGCTTTATTTAGGGACAAAACAAAAAGGAATGCCTGAACTTAATGTATGGCAGATGGAGTAATTAGGAAGATTTGTTTTATTGCAGCTGGCCAATCTGCGATTGTTTGATTGCCTTCCATTCTACTGGTTATCCTCTGAAGAAGGCTGAAGCATATGCTGCATTAAGAAAGTAAGTATAAATGTACTCTAATTAATTCTGATGCAAGTGGATCAAAGCTGTTATACTCGTGGCACTGTTATTTCATTTATTTTTCAGATTTCATACTTTGGAACTACGCATGTAGATGAGAGAGGTGTGATCTGTGTATATAAAAATTATCTCTTTCACATATTTTCAGTCTGTTGGAGAAAAGAGTTACTAGTCTGTCCCACTAAGATTGGGACAAGAGGGTGTGGTGCGATTTTTAAGAAAACTGGAAATGTGTGGATATTGAATTGATAAAGTGTGACTAAAGTAAGAATGATTTGTAACCACTCAAATATTACCAAATATGGTATGGGACAAACTTAATGGGACGGGCAAAAAAGGTAAAATGGGACAAAGTTGGGGGGGACGGAGGGATATTATTTTCTGAAGAGAAGTGAGAAATTCTTTGATTTTGTAATTAAATGCAAAACCATCACAATATTAAGCACATAATTATGAATACAACTTTTATTAGATGTAATTCCTTGTGTACTAGTGCTGCTTGTATTGATACGACTATGAGCTCATATGTTATTCTTACACGCTTTAAGACTTGAAGTTCGGAGGTGTTCCATTGTCATCTAGGAAGAGTTAAGATTGCATTGCTATTTGCAACCCTTAAGAGGTGTATTGTGCCTTTACATGCCTTGAAGTGAGTTTGCAAGTAATTGTGTATTATTTTAATTTAGGCCTTTCCTTGTAAATGAATTGGAGCTACAACATCTTCTCCATGATCGAAGGAAAGTGTACGAGGTGTGTCTATAATCACTTGCCTCTACTTCATTTAGTTTGTTGGGTAACAAAGAATCAAATAAGGAAGTTGTCTGGAGCTTTCGGATTATGAACTCTTATATGTATTTTTCTTCACTATTGTTGTTTACACCTTCAGTTTCGTTTTGTCCTATGAAACATCTCCCTTCTATGCTGATCCACCAGTATGGGATTACTTCTGTGGGTTAGCATGCAAAAACAATGCTTTCTTTCTCTCTCTCTGTTTGCTTCTATTTCATTAGTACAATAATTATAAAGAGTATTGATATTTCCTTTATTAAATTGGCAATCCCCCTTTCCCCTATTGAAGTTCGATTCATGTTTTCTTAAATAAACCTTTTTTCGGAGTTCCAGCGTCTTGAGATGTGTGGAATTCCAGTCCCAAGGTATGCTTGTGTAAATAGGGAAGTACCCTATCAAGAGCTAGATTATTTCGTTGAGGAAGAGGAT